ATCAAACCGACAGATATAGCTATAGTAATAATCTTTCAACTTCCACAGAGTGGTGTTGAAATTGAAATTTTAAGCTATGATTGAATCAATTTGAAGCATGATATCCAAAGATATGCCCGGAATTCTAATTTTCAATGAATGAAAAATGTTTATAAGTTTTTTACATAAATGGAAACAACGATTAGTGCTATCGCCTCCATCTCCGAACTCGGTCGCAAGGATATCCAAACAATCATTTTAAGTCATCATTAAATGATTAACATTTTTTTTAGTTATCGTAGGACAACATTAAAAAAAAAGAAAAAAATCAAAATTTAAAAAAATTAATGAATCAATCAAATTTTAATTTATGTCGATGGATAGGGCTCAACGATACCTACATTTGAAAAAAAAATGATTCAATTTCATCAATTCATTGGCGAATAATTCCAGAAAAACCTTAGACGCCAACATACACACATATGGACACGGTCCAAAAATTGCATTTTCGGACTTTTTGGATCATAATGGGTCGGTGTAACACAAAAGAACCGAAACTAAAATCTGAACGATATTACACGGCTTCCATTCGGAACCAAAAATTTAAAAAATGCAAAAAAACGTAGACGAGAAAAAATAACAAATTGATTGTTCAATATCTCCGGAAAGTTTTAAAATCGATAGATTTTTTCGAATAATAGAAGAATACTCATAAATTCGATTCCTATCCTTGTCTTTTGATAGAATGAATAGAATAAATGACAGCAGAAATTGAGAATTGGAGCTATGAGAATCATAACAATTGCTCCCCTCAACGTGACCCTTACTCCACACCCGGGAAAAGACGAAAGTAGCCGGCTCTGCCAAACGAACCCTTCTGAATAATGTCGTCGTCGACAGGAAAGAATCCTTATTCCTTATTCCTTATATAAAAAAAGCATGCATTGGAAACTGTCATGGCGGAAGCATGTAAAAAGTGTCATGGCGGCGCATGAAGGATGCATTCTCATCATGAGAATGAGCAATGCGGCTGCGACGGCGCTGTTCAGGGAAGCGCGCGTAAATTACAAATCGGATTCTCTATGTGAAATGAAAAATTGTTCGAATGATGATTGATAATTNAATATATTGGACCAAAACAAAAATTTTCACCGCGATGGTGAGGGTTTTGACCTGGGTGAGTTCACATGGAATACCCCATATACATATTTTCTACACATGGATTTGTTTATAATGAGGGCAATGGGAAATTATTTTTTGGTGATGGATGTTAAAAATTGAAAGGTGGTTGAAATGATTGATAATTAGATGAACTTGAATGTCAGGAGTGGAATAAAATAGAAGTGATTAATTGCTTTCGTCACAATATAGTCAATATATTTTTGCTCCTAAATTAACAATTCGCTTCCGCATGGAATTTCTATAATGGTGGATTTTCCAATTGAATTCAATGATTTATTGTATTCAATTTATTGACATCGCCTCAATGTTGGCAGCCAGCATTGCCTCAAAAATATTGGTTTCAAAATAATTTTTTTCAACAACAGATGATGCAATCAATCTCATGATCGAACTTGGTCAAAGTGGCATTGGGAAGATCATTTTAAATAATAGTTAGATTCCTTTAAACAATTATTTTTTCAGTTATCGTCGAAAAACGATCGGTCACATATACATACATACATACGGACATGGTCTAAAAATTGCATATTCGAACTTCTGAGGCCAAAAGTAGTTATCCTGATGCAAAAATTGGCATTTTCGGATTCGATAAATGGTCCCATTCGGAAGCAACAATTATGAAATGTAAAAATGGAATGATTTTATTGCTTTCATTCGGAAGTAAAATAAATCTCATGTTTTTCTAAATTCGAGACTTATGTAAATAATTTGATTCCAATTTTTTTATTAAATTTTCTTTTAGAAGCTTTGTGTAATGAAATCAATACTTAAACCACAAAATCAAAGAATATTGAATATTCTCCATGGAATAAAAAAGTTGGAATACTTTTTATTCAAAGATTTTAAATCATCTAATTTATCAATTAAATTGGCTAGGAAAAGCTCGAAAATAAAGAATGGCGTAATGGAATAAATAATTAGCGGAGTTCGAACAAAATTCCATAAATACTTGCTTTTACCAACATTCTCTTCTTAGGAATGAATAATAGAATGTCTCAAATTTCCGAAAAATATAATTTTTTCACATAAATGAAAAAATGATATGATTTTTGGTGTGATTTTTGGAGCAGAAAAATTCGTTACAATTCAGGAAAAATTATTCTTTGAATGAAAAATTGATTATGATGGAATCATTTATAAAAACACAGTCATGGTCTCCGAAAATCGCAATTTTTTCAATCATTTCATTAGTCTACTTCGAAAAGTCGACTTTCCATTTTTTTAAATATATTTTTTAAATATTCGCTCATAATTATGAGTACATAGCAGTTATACTGTTGAAAAAAAAGAGTAAAATTTTAAGGACAGTTTAATAGTAAATTTCAAGAGTTAGAGAGGTACAAGTCTTGCAATATAAAAGTTCACTGGAAATTAACTGCGATTCAACGTTTTTTAACAGCATGGAGATAAAAACTCTCAAGTTCCTTAAATTCTCATTCAATATATGAAATATTCTGTACCTAAAATTACTGGATAGTTTCGGATGTTAAAGCAATTATAATTGTCCAAATCGAAAATAGAATTATTCAACTTTACTAATGTTGCGTTTAGTAAGGTTTTCTCCAAAGTTGATTAGAATCAGTAGCTAGAATTATGAGATTATAGAATTTGAAGGCAACAGAATGAAAACCATGATCAATTTTTTCGCTTCAAAAAATGATAATAATCATATCCAAATTAAAAAATTGCAGAGAACAAGAATGATGATATTTGTGTCATATCCTCTGAATCATTAACATGAATGTCAGATTCACGAAAAAGGTTGGAGCAGAAGTCACACGGTCATTTCAAGTTTTTATTTTCAATTTGGCGCTGGAAACATGAAATGACGATATTCAGAGGGAGCCAGTTTTTTCCGGATGTAAGATGATTCGGCAGTTTTCCGGAGAATTTAAAACAATTATGAGGTTTTCTGAAAAAATTCGAGAAACCTGAATTCTTCGAAAATTGGAGGAAATTTTGGGTCTCTTTATCTCTCAAATATTAAAGAATTTTTGAATAAACAATGAGAGAGCAAATGCTAGGAAAAGGTGGAATTTTCCAAATAAAACTGATGTGAAGGAGTCCCGAGCTTCCAACAACTGCACTCTGATTGATGGAAATGACAAGGAACATAATTTTTAAAAATTCTAAATTTTCCTCGGATTTTCTCAATAATTTCACAAACATTTTTTTGTTAATTCACAAGAATTTCGGAATTTTATGGAGAATTTGAAAAAATTTCAGATGATTAATGATTCAAGTTTCAAGTAATATAGCACCTAATAAAATTGTGACAAAGATCATGAATGAGAAGATACTTCGAATTAGCCAAAGAGTATCAGAATCAGTCTTATGATTTTTGCTAGAAAAATAATTGAATGCTATTGTCAAATTGTGAAAGGGGGCGGCGAAGATTAAAAAATTCTGAGTTGAGAGAAATTTACTTATTATTGTTTTGTACTCTGAATGGAATTTTGATTATAATTATAGTTCGAATGTCATTCATAGAGCACAGAAATTCAAAATTAGTGAATCACTTATTGAAATATTGACATTAAACAGGCAATCAAACGACAAACATTATTTTCATTAACCTTAACACTCAGTATAATAAGACGATAATAAATCATTAATTGTTGAAAGAGACACACGGAAAAATAAAAAAAGACAGAATGAAAGGGCATCGGCGCTAGCGAATATGAAAAAGGAGCCTTTCAGCCTGACTGAAATAATAATGCAAATCCGAAACTGTTAAGACCGATAGGAATATGAAAATTTTAGAGTAGATCCTATTTCTAAGGCGTGCTTATTAAGAGAAGATTTTTAGAAATAAAAGAGGATGTGTTTCAAATTCTTTCTGAAATCCACCTTTCATAGGATGAATAGGGGATGAATTATAAGAACTCTAAGGAAGTTTACAGGTTCCCTAAAAAATCAGAGAATTGTCGGTTTTTTCTGAATGTAAAATGATTTGGAAGTTTTCCAGAGAATTTACAACAATTATGAGATTTTCTGAAAAAACCCGAAAAAATCCACGAGTCTTTCGAAAATTAGAGAAAATTTTCGGTATCTCACAAATATTAGAGAATTTTTGAATAAACCATGGGAAAACGATTACAAATGATTTTAACGAACTTAAGACAACTGAGAGAAAAATTTTTCTTGATACCGGTTCTTCGATGTACTGTCCAGCGCTACAACGAGACACGTCTGCGCATCAAAGCATCAGAAGTAAAACGCTTCTTTACTGCTCCAGATCCTGCTCCTCTTATCGCCCAGAAGCTCTGGATGTCGTTCGAGCCTGTGGAAATCTACCCCTCAAGCGAAGAACGGAAAGAGGAAGCTCTTCAGGAATACGCAACGAGTAGAAATGTCCGTGTGATTCCACTTGGGGCTCATGGCATACTCGTCAATCCAGCAGTTCCAGGGTTATGCTGCTCACCAGATGGTGTTATTTTTAGGGAGGGTGGGAAACTGGCGTATTTTGTCAAAGTTAAATGTCCATCACGATTCATCGAGGAGAAACAATGCTCATATTTCACAGATGAAGATGGTAATGTGTTTTTGAAACGTCATCATGACAACTATTTCGAGATCATGGCGACTATGACAATTCTAAACGTTGAATTTTGTGATTTTATTGTTTGGAACGGTACAGGTTACTTAAAGGTTGAGAGAATCTATAGGGCTGAATCGTTGATTAAAAGTTTAATATTGAAGTTAATTAGAGTTCAGAAAAATATAATTATCGAGTATTTGGAAATGCGTGCCCCTAGAGATTTGGAGTTATTCACGGTTTATTAAACGTTTATATTTATGAAGTCTTAAAACATATGGAACGGTTAATGAGATTGGAGTGGTTAATGAGATTGATAATTTATTATATTCTTATTCTAGTTGATCCATGTTATTTTGTGTTGAATTTACATTATATTATATTCATTATGTTACTAGTGGCTCTTGAAAGTTTACGAGCATGGCAATGACAAAAACAATTTGTGACGTAATCAATGATAAGCTTGCTGGAATGTTTCTTTGTAAAATCCTATACTCCTTCACCCTCCCAATTGCTCTTTCAACGTGAATTCTAGCTGATGCAATTTCACGTGTTGAGAATACTTCATGAGCTGTAAATGCCTCACGTCCTTTCAAAAATGGCGGAATAATTAATGAACATTTCTTTGCCTGCAATAAATCTCGAATATTGAAACCACGATCGGCCATGATTGCATCACCTTCCTGGAGTGATTCCATGATGTTAGATTTTTGAAACAGGTCTCGGTCACTTATCGAGCCTTCGAACGCGGTGGACACGAAGCATATTCCCCCGGTGGGCACTATTCCAATCAAAAATTTATGAGTGTTATGTGCCTTATAAGCTGAGTAAGTGTTTCCTTGTTCTCTGTAATCTTGAGGTCTTTGAGTATTTATTTCCATTCCATCGATAATTACACGTATGTTCTTGAATTGCTGGAAACATGCCGGCAAACCTTTCTTTGATGTCATGTGTCGAGATGGAAAAACATTCAAATTCTTAAATTTTAAATATATGAACTGAATCCATGTTACTATAATTTTCGAAATCGAACTTTCACTCAAACCAGTGCGTAAAGCGAGGTCTTTCAATAACAAACCACTTCGCAATCTGACAAGAGTGAGAACTAATTGATCTCTTGCATTCAACTTTTGTTTATGATGCTTTTTTTGGGGTTGCAATGGAGTGTCTTTCCCTCTCCAAATTTGCAGCCTCGACGCTTCAGGATTTAGAAAAGACCATAAGGCATCGAATTGCCCATAAGTCAAGCCTGTATAGAATTCAAAAGCTATCTTATTCTGCCTTGATTCATCATAGCCGAATCGACATTTCCCTAACTCTGTTTCCAATGCAGTTATTTTTGCTTGCAGCTCTTTAATATAAATCCCTTCCACTGCTATACAGGTTTCAGTGGTTGCATCTTGTGTAGATGGATTAATCTGGCGCCTTAATTCATCACAGCCAAACTGACCTTTCCCTGACTCCATTTCCAATTCAGCTATTCTGGCTTGCAGCTCTTGTACTTGGATTCCTTCCACTGCTACACAGGTTTGAGTGGTGGCATTTTGTGTAGATAGATCAATCTGGTGCTCTCCATCCCATTCATCTCCATTATCAGTTAATGGGGGACGATTCTGAACCTAATAGTTGCAATACAAGGAAATAATTAAAAAAGAAGGAAACAAATTTTTTCAAAAATCATGAAGAACGTCATGGGGCGAGAAGTATTAAAAAGAAGTATACCCAAGTAATCGATGAGATACAATATTTATCTATGGACTACTTTCGTTTGATCAACATTATAATTTTGACACTCCAGTGAGTTATGCCTAATCAGCGGCGTCATAATTTACATAATTGATGAGAAATTTTCAAGTGATTTTACCTCAATGCTGCTATTTTCCTCATGGACAACCCCTGTAGCACTCGAGCAATCCACATCGAATAGTGACTCCTCCAGTATACAGATATCCTCGAATATTTCTCGATCTCCATCCTCCGAACCATCTTTTTCTGATTCTGGAGTTCCATCAGTTTCAACAGGAACAGGAGGTGGCTGCGATCGATTAGGAACTGTATATGGTAATGGGTTGACTCGTCGTACTTTGATCTGGATGGGAAACATAATGATGTATATCAATTGAAGAGGGAAAAAATATGGTGATTCAACTGTGACGAAGGGAATATGGTTAAATAAATATAACCCCATACGTCATACCTTAGATTCCGTACACTGGATTGGATCAAGATGTTCACTGGTGGGACCATTACCTCCCTCGAAATGTTTACTACATATATAAGTATGCTTTGTGATTGTCTCCACCGTCAACCTGGGGTGATTGCAGGCCTCCAGCCAACGTATACTTTTTTCCAAGTCTTTTTTAGGTTTTGGAAATGGTATGAAAAAAACTCCGTCCTCAGGGTAACGGTTGTCAGAATTGCACGATGCATATACACAGTGTTTACTCGGCATCCTCACAAACGAAGCTCGAGTATTTTTTCTATTTTTTATATTAATTTTTTATTCGTTTGTCTCTTGTTAAATTTTTCACACTTATACTTATTGACACTTCGCATCTGAGGGTTATGTTTTTGAATTTGACGGACATTAATTTACTACTTTCTCTGTGCGGCGGCGTTGTTGCTTGTCCCGCCGACGCTATAGCCCTCACGCGGCGAATCTATAAAGTTCGATTGTGAAAGTGGCTAATTGATAGGAAAAGGTGGAATTTTCCAAATGAAATTGATGTGAAGGAGTCACGTGACACCAACTACTGCACTCTGATTGATTCAAATGGGAAAGAAAAACATAATTTGAGAAATCGGAGAATATAATTTCACAGTTTTTCCAAGTTTCCAAGTTTTTCAAGCAAAATTCACAAGAATTTCGGGACTTCATGGAGGATTTGACAAAAATTCAGATGATCCATCAAAGTTTCAAGTTCATGGCATCGTCGAAGAAAATTGTGAAAAAGATCATGAATGACGAGAAAATACTCCGAATTAGCGAAGGAGCATCAGAATCTGTAATATAATTTTTCCAGCAAAAATAATTAAATGCTTTGGTAAAGGTGTAAAGGAGAACAAAAGGGGTGGCGAACACTAAACAATTCTGGGTTGTGTGAACTTCAATAATTATTGCTTCGCACTCTGAATAGAATTTTTATTATAATCATAGTTAGAACTTCATTCAGTGAGTACAAAAATTAAGAATCATTGAATCACTCATTGAAATATTGAAATTAAACAGGTGATGACCCGATAAGCATTATGCCCATTAATCTTAATACTCAGTTTAATAAGACTATGATGAATCATTAATTTTTTAAAGAAACACAAGGAAAGATTGAGAAAAAGCATAATGAAAGGGCATCAACGTCGCGGCCGCGGCGGCGCTAGTGATGTTTGAATCTGAGTGGTAGACGTAGAGGACGTCGAGTCGAGCTATGTAAATTCGAGAGAGTGGCCGTATCCAGACCCATCCAAAGTTAGCCACTCATTACCATAATTATTGATTTTTGACGAATGCAATCGATAGTTCGTCAATTGTTCTTGATTGTTTGAGGATTTTCAGCGTTTGTTCCCCAGCCAATTATTTATAATTGATTTTTTATTTTTTCCTCCCATGTTTCCTCAATTTAGCCCCTCCCACGTAAAGATCTAATCATTTTAAATTGTTCCTTCTGATGAATCGTTTGTTCGTCGTTTGTTCCTCCCTAAGACACTGCTGAGGTAATCGATAGGTTGATCCTTTCAATTGATTTCCTCTCAATCGTTAAAAGAGTGGCATATACTATAGCACCAAATTTTACTACCAGCAGCTATAATTCGTGATTTACTATGCAGAAGTATTTTTGGAGCGGAGTCCGTTCCGAAGGCTGTTTAATAATAATTAGTTCATCATTGAATAATAATAATGATATTGACGACAATCATCGATGATTACTATTCAGCCGTGTGACAGTGTTTCCTCTCAATGAACTCTATCGATGGATATGTTCAATTACCGCCCATTGAACATTTACATTAACCACAATATTGTGCAGCAGTATACTATAGTAACGAGTGTAACAATATTACATGAAAAATCACCAATAGCGATTAATGGAAGAATTAATTCATGGGAGAATAATGCCCTTAACGTGTGAGATTCATTGATGAAGCATTATGACGACTCCATCGGTTTTCTAGAAGAAAACTCCGGGGAAAATCAGCAGTGAACGATGAGGGACATTCTGCGGACAGAGTGAGGTGGTAAGTAATTGTTGGTTTATCCCTGCATTCGAGGGCTCTCAGCCCAGGTAACTAGCATTAGGATAACTTTATCCCCATGTATTCAACAGCATAATGAAATAACTAACCTAACTTGAGCATAAGATTTTTATAAATATTGCAAAGCCCTGTGAAACAGTTCTATTCTTGGGAGAAATTTATTGACATTTAAATTTCATAATCTAACACTCTTTCAACTGGTGGATCAATCAACAGGATTTGGTCCTTAGGCCTATGGAAAATTTTTAGACTTCTCTGTTACACCACTGAGTTCCAGGGAGATTATTCAGCACATATCTCAGGGACTGATGAGTTTTTACAAAAACGTGCTATCTTGACATTTTACGATGAATCCATCAGTCTCAAAGATATTTGTCAAATAATCTGTATACATTTTTGTGACTCATTTCGTTCCATTATCTCTTTACAGGAAATTATTATCTTGTCGGCATATTTTTGGTAGATTCTCTGGAGATGAAGGTTCTACTTGAGCAGTAGTTTCACTTGGCATTGGCTCTGACATCAGACTCCATCAGAATTCCCCTGACCTTCAATGAAATCTTTAGGCATAAACAAATCTAGAGAATTGTCTCTCATTGTAGACATTATTCAACCGCTTTGATTGATCCAGAAGCTTACAAAATGTTTCAGGATGGACGTTCAACCCTCAGGATTACTTCGGGTCATTTCAATCAAGTATGGTTTATGTTAGGATCAAGTAG